GTTGCAGCTGACTTCCTCAGATGCCTCCAAAAGCCCAAGCCAAACAAAACTTACTCTTTTTCAAGGTGCTGGCAGACTCTTTATGGCTTTTGCTGGATCAGACTACTATGGTGACCTGCCTCCTACACATTTTTCACTTTGTTTCTATTTTGATTGCCAATTGATTGAAGGCTCCTTTGTTCCACTTCCGTTATTATGTTGCTCATTTTTTTTCATTTCTCTTTCCCTCCCTAATTTCTCTAGGCTTTTATTTATTCTCGCCTAACAAATCAGATCCGGTAAGTAAAACTGTACATTCTTGGATTCCTTAATAATGTGGAGGAACTTCTTTGCAGAATGGGCACTTAAGAATAGCTACTGCCAGCAACATTTGCTTGGAGTCCCAGTGGGGGAGGGAGAATGAAGGCAGAGCTTCTGCGAGCCTTCATTCCTACTTACGTCTATGCATAAGCATGTCGTTCGCTTTTGCTGCTGATCCTGCATTTCCAAAGGGGATTTCTCTGTGGTTGTTTCAGCATAATTTCAGCCACCGGGACTGGGAGTAAATGCATCTGTAAGACTGAAAAGAATGCAGATCATTTAAAGCAGTGTGAGGCTTATGAACAGGGAATGTTGGGGTAGTGGCAAATCCTGATGTACAAGTGCTCCCCTCTAATTACCGTATTTTTCTGTCTATAAGACACCCCATGTATAAGAACCCCCCACTTTTCTAACCCAAAATTAAGAAATCAAAGTGGGACTTAGCAAGTGTAGGGGGAAAGGGATCAAAGCGCTGCAGGATCGCTTTGATCCCTGCTTTCTCCCTTCGTGCTAAGCCCCGTGGGGCTTAACAAAAGGAGGGGGAAAGGGATTAAAGCACTCCCACAACTGCATGATCGTTTTGATCCCTTTCCCCCTTATACAGCCACGGGATTGCTTTGATTCTTTTCCCCCTCCTTTTGTTAAGCCCCATGGGATTTAGCAAGCAGAGGGGAAAGCAGGAATCAAAGCGATCCTGCAGTGCTTTGATCCCTGCTTTCCTTTTGCTAAGGATTAGCAAGTGGAGGGGAAAGCAGGGATCAAAGCCCTGCAGGATCACTTTGATTCCTGCTTTCCCCTCCACTTGTTTTTGTACTCTCCTCAACTTACTTCCATGTATAAGACAACCCTCTTATACACTGAAAAATATGGTACATCCGCAAGAAAAATACAGAAAAGTAAGAAGTGATGTTGGGCCTAATGAACAAACGGCCACTTGCACTTTTCATCTACTCTAGTGATATTAGTGACCTTCCAAGGGTCCTGTAACAATGTTGCAAAACAAAGGCTGGGACTTCCTTTACTAAGTCAGTTAATTTCATGTTAGATTTCCCCCCCTATTGTTTTTCCTGCTGTCCTCTGTTTTTCCTAGCATCATTTTTTTCCAGGAATATGTTCAAAATACGATGGCCACCATTTAATAATTTTTCCTCCTTGTGAGAGTTCAGGATTTATTTTCTCTAGAACCCATGCGTTTGTCTTTTTGGTGGTCCAGGGAATCCGCGGAGCCCTCTTCCAGCACCAAATTTCAAGAGATAGCTCACAGCAGTACATGGTTGCTGGAAAAAAAATGTGTCTCTCTTTCCCCAAAAAACTACTGTGAGGAATGAAACCTAGCCCAGACGGAAGAGGAAAGCTGATGTGGGCAGGAAGTGGTGTTTTTTAAAAACTTGATTATTTCTGCTAAGCAAAAATTCCTGGCTCCCCCCAAATGTGTGTGATCAGAGGCAACCAACCGCTTGGTGTTCTCATGGTGGCTTTTCTTCTGCAGTATTTCAACACCTTAGAGAACAGCCTTGTGAATCTCTTTGTCCTTCTGACAACTGCAAAGTAAGTCCTTAGGTTAATAAAACTGGGTGGGTGGAGGAACTGTAATTTTTAACTTTTAAGCAACCAAGTCTTCAATCTCTTTTACGTGGAAGCAGAGATGTGGGATGAAACACATTTGCACCAAAAAAACTCCAGTGTTTTCTTTGCCCTTTACGTGCGAATGAATGACAACAGGAGTCCACCACCCTGTTGAATGTCTGCTGAGCAGAAAGTCCAGTCGGCCTGGCAGTGCACCCTTGGGCGCTGTTACAGGTGTTACTATTGTGCGAGCAAAATGCAAGTTTTATTTGTAAATGCCAGCACTTGTGCAACGGCTCTGTCTGAACAAGCGACACAGTCATCTCTTGCGATTCTGCTGGGACTTCCTGCTCAGCACATGCTTAATAGGAAACTGGCCGAGTATTTTAATAAATATGTGCTTCATGTAAGATATGTGTGTGCTAATATGGTTTGCTGCAGCATGAGCACATTATTTATGTAATCTAACCATGTGTTTGGTTAGTTCTTTCTAGAAGATATTTTAGGAGAGCTACATATGCATGCTAATTACAAAGTAGATGGAGGGCTGTTGGCTAAGTGACATAAGCTGGTAGTTTCCGCCCAATCTTGTTACTGAACCTCAGCTTCCAGCAGGTCCAGTCAGTGTCCAGTACTTCTGGGAATATTAATTTCACAGCCCCTGGGGACCCACAGCGGAGAAACACTAACAATAAGGCATTCAGAGTCCTCTAGAGAGGACCATAATATAAACAATCAAAAGAATAGTGCTGGACATTTGGCAGCGCTTGCTGGTGGCATCCACTATCTAAAAAAATCTAGGGTGTTTAGAACTGTATTTCAAACAGAGAAGATGGGCTTGAATGGTCGTGAGGACCCATGGATTGATCGACGGATTGATATCACATGTATATCCCACCTATCCACCAAAAAATAGCACTCGGGGTGGCTTACAAACTGCAGAGAAGAATAAACAAAACCAAATTTAACGGTAAAATGATAAAATGAAGGAAACCCAACCCAAACATAAAAATTATAAACCCAAATAAATGCATTAAAGGTATTGAAGTTAATAAGGAGTGTCGTTTAAAATGATGTAGCAGAGCAGGTTAAACATAAGCCAGTGTAAAAAAAGATGTGTTTTAACTTGCTTCTTAACGTCAGTCAGAACAGAAACAGATCACAGCTTGGAGGGTAACCTAGGAGAACCCCTTTCTGCTACGTGCCTGCAAGGTGGACCTCTGAAACCGTTGGCACTCTTAAGAGGATCTCTCTTGAGGAGCTTAACGTCCAGATAGGTGCCTAATGCGATAGGTGGTCCCTTAAATAGCTAGGATTCAAGCCACCTGGGGTTTTAAGACCAACTCGCTGAATTGGGGCAGAGAAGGAATGGGCAACCAGTTCAGGTATCTTTCAGTATATGGCTCGTATGATCATGGTACCGTGCAGCAGTTAGCAACCTGTGTTGCACCAGTTAAAAATCTTGGGCCCTCTTCAGAGGTAGCTCCATGGAGAGCCCATTGCAGTCATCAAGATGTGATGGCACTAAGGCGTGGGTGGCTGCTACTAACTCTTTTAAGCTAAAAGGCTTGGCGGTGGCCACTGGTTGGATAAGAAAGCATGTAGAAGCTCAGTATAGACTTTTGTGAGATCCCTCTAAAAAGCAGATAGTGTTAAAGGTTTTTCTCTCTCTCTTTTTCTCTTCTTTTCTTGAGACAGACAAACAGAGAATGAGGCAGACAGTTATTGATTTAAGATTAGATTAACTCCCCCAGGTTTAACAAGGAACTGGAAACATCCATAAAACGGGAGGTTTTGATGTTTCCTCAGTGCTGTCCTTAGTGACTGCATGATTCTTGAACCCTGCTGCAAGTACCAGACAGCAGCTGGAATCCTCTTGCCTATGTTATGCCTGTGGAAGTGTTGACATCTCTGGAGGGGGGCGGAGGAGTGAGGAGGTCACTGGCAAGGAGCAATTTGGGCAATCAAGGACTTCCTTCTTCTTTCCGGTGGCTTGTCTGAGAGTGACCCACAGATAATCTATTTCATTGCATGGGTACCACAAGATGGGAGAAGGAAGTCTTTTGCTACTGAAAATCACCAGTGTCAGACGATGTTATCAGTGGGGAGAGAGATTTCGCACAGATGCAGTGACTGAAACTAATAATGATCTCTCTCGGGATGCAGTTTCCCGGATGTGATGATGCCATCTTACTCCCGTAATCCCTGGTCCTGCGTCTTCTTTATTGTGTACCTTTCCATTGAACTCTACTTCATCATGAATTTGGTGAGTCACTTGTGTCCAGCCTCAAATCTCTTACCTAAATTCTTCTCTGTCCATCTCCAGGATATAATGATAGGATGCCTAACACACACTTACAATAGTAGTGACCGCTTATTATGCCACTCCCTTTGAAATGCTCACTCATTCACTGCACGGTGAACCCCAGTTATCACTCAGGATATGTTCCAAGAAAACAAAGGGCTAGCTGAATCGGTGATCAGTCGGATCATTTAAAAAAATTTGGCACAGACTGGGTAGATCAGGCTCCAGGTCTCCTGGAGGCCCAGTCTACCTCCTGTAGGTGGATCAGCCCCTTCTTTATATTTTTCATCATAAATTTTGTTTTTTTTATTGTTGTTGTTTAGTCATTAAGTCGTGTCCGACTCTTCGTGACCCCCATGGACCAGAGCACGCCAGGCCCTCCTGTCTTCCATGGCCTCCCAGAGTTGGGTCAAATTCATGTTGGTCGCTTCGGTGACACTGTCCAACCATCTCATCCTCTGTTTATTTTAAATCTAACCACCTGTCCAAATTCTTCTATAACTCTCAATAATTCTTCCAAATTTTCTAAGGGGTTTTCTAGTATTATCAGCTCCCTCTTGAGCACCACAAAATGGCTGTTCTTCAGTCAACACGTTGGTTATTCGTTTTGTCATGTTTTTAAATTTAACTGGTTTTTGATTATTTTTTGGCAGTTTAAATCATAATTTCCAGTTGAAAAGAATGGTGATCCCTCTTTTCCTAGTGATACAGGATATGAGAGCGTTGAAGGCTCTCTACCCAGTGTGTGCTGATGGCGTGCCTGGCCATCTTCCCCTTCAGCACTGCCCTTCTCTGGAAGGGTCCTTGAAGTGGTGGTGTTGGTGGCCATTAAGCTGGGATCTCCCTGCTGTCCTCCAAATCTGAAACTGGAAGACTTTATTCAGGTTTTGTCCCAAAAATGATCCAGTGGTTTTCACAGTGTGTTCCTGCAGCCCTCTATTAGTGTAATTGTCCCTTGACTTCTTGTTGCTGGTCAATTTTGGAGAAAAAAAGTACTTCCTATGATGGCCCTTGTTCTATAGCTTGATGCCGAGTAGAACGTGTTGCAAAGTTTTGAATTTCTGGCTGTATTGCTCTAGCTGTGCAGCAGAAGTGCAAGGATTCACTTCTGCTGTGAATAGCTTTAAGTTCTCCAGTCTCGTCCACTCCTTTTTCTCATTAATTGGTGCTTACAGTCTCAGTAGTTTGAGACCTCTGTTGAGAAAGAATAAAAAGGTTCCATTGACTTACGGTGAATCTGTAATAGTGAACTAACAAACATGACTAACTGCTTTCAGCAACAAGCCTCAACAGACTTCTAGCCCCCAACACACTACTGAGAGGGGCAGGGGAGAGCACTTAATAGAGAGGTGGAACTCTCTTTGAAATTCAGAGGCAGGAAGGAACAATTGGTTAGTGCTGTTAGTCACCGTGCCCTGGAAAGGTCCATTCCCCGCCAAACCAGAAAAAAGGCAGCATAAAAGTTGCAAATAATGCCAACGGAAGTGAAAGGCCACCAATGCAAAATATTGGTCATTTTTCTCCTTTTTCTTTAGCTACTTGCTGTTGTGTTTGATACATTCAACGATATTGAGAAGATGAAATTCAAGTCCCTGCTCCTTCACAAGCGCACGGCCATTCAGCACGCCTGTCGCCTGCTTGTCAGCAAACAGGTAAATGGCCCTCCGTGGGCGAGCGTGCGTGCGTGCAAAAGAGGTGTCCTCGCCAAGAGTTCGTGAGCAACCCTGTTGGAGACAGCTGTCTGCATAAGTCTGACTTGTTTCAAGAAGCGAGCACGCCCACGCACGCTGGGTTCCAAGGGGCTCACGAATCCTCTACAGATGTCAATGTTTTTCACTATCGGGAGCACAGTCTTGTCTTCAGCAGAAAAGAGGGGCAGAATTACATCACTGAACCAATAGGCAACTTGGGCAGACAGAACAGTTGTTCCTCAAATGGTATCTGATTGTGTATTTTCCCCTCCATCTGCAAATTGTAAGGTTTAGCTACTTTGTATTAGCAAGCAAGCAAGCAAGCAAGCAAGCAAGCAAGCAAGCAAGCAAGCAAGCAAGCAAGCAAGCAAGCAAGCAAGCAAGCAAGCAAGCAAGCAAGCAAGCAAGCAAGCAAGCAAGCAAGCAAGCAAGCAAGCAAGCAAGCAAGCAAGCAAGCAAGCAAGCAAGCAAGCAAGCAAGCAAGCAGATGGGATGGAACTGACTAAAAGACAGTAAATTTTTTTATTAGGGACACAACGGAAATGCACATTCAGCATCCGCATGTTACAGGATATCGGGGGACTGTTCACATATTTTAGTCAATAAGATTAACATGCTAATTATAATGCCATTCCTATCACAAGGACTTCACCGACAAGTCCTCCATCATCATTTGTGAGAATTTACCCATAACAGAATAAACACACTTCAGAGGCAAATATGTGAACTAATGGAGTCCTTCAGCCTTGGTTCCTCTGAAAGCTGTGCTAGGAAATCAGGACAGTCTCCATAAACAGAGAAAAGGGAGAGCAAAAATACTCGTGGGACCGTACGTGGTCCCTCCATTGCTCCTCGGGGCATTTTGGATCATTGCTCCCAGACGCCCCAGTCAGTATGGCCAATCCTCAGGGTTTCTAGAAGATTTTAAACCATCTGGAGAGTCAGTGGTTGAGAACCAACGTTTTAAAGCCTGAAAAGCCATTACAGTGGTGCCTCGCATTACGATGTTAATTCGTTCCAGCGAAAATCGCTGTAGAACGAAAACGTCGTAATGTGAAAATAAAAAACCCATTGAAACGCATTAAAATCCGTTTAATGCGTTCCAATGGGCTAAAAACTTACCGTCCAGCGAAGATCCTCCATAGGGCAGCCATTTTCGGTGGCTGTCTTGCGAGGAATCCGTCCCAGAAAACAGTGGGGAGCCATTTTATTTACTCGGCGGCCGTTTTGAAACCGCTGATCAGCTATAGGAAAATTGTCGTTTTACGAAGAATCGGTTCCTGAAGCTGGGAACCGATCATCACAAAGCAAAAAAATCTACTCAGACCATCATTTTGTGATTGCAAAAGCAATCACAAAAAGTCATCGTAATGCGGTTTTGTCGTAATGTGGGGCAATTGTAAAGCGGAGCACCACTCTATACCCTTTATGAAACAGGCTGACAGACAGCCTTGGGACTCCGCTCACCTGCACAGAACATCCTGCCATCTCCAGTTACAAGGATCAGGAGCAGGTGATGATCAGGGCCTCAGTGGTCTTGCTTGAGTCCCATCACCAACAATTCACCAAGACAATTCACAGCAAAATTAAAACAGACACAGATAAGGATGGGAGGTTAGCCTGCAAAGATGATCAAAGAATCTTCTGGTATGTTAAAAGAGAAAAAGTTTTACTAGGCCTAAACCAATAGGAAAACTCAGTCTTTATGTTTAAAATGTAGCACATTCTATTGTGGGTAGGGTTGACAGATACACAGGTAATAAAAGGAGGACAGAGAAAGACAAAAAGGAGGACAAAGGAGGACATATTGAATGTTTCATTTGAATCATTCCAGATTAAACCCATAATCAATACAATTTTAATACAATAGCTGCCAATAAATGCCTCTTAGTGAACTGACCAAGAAACAGTCATGTTAAAAATTAAAAATAAACTCAATGGAGGCTTTTTTTTCAAAATATCAGGGGTGGGCGGGCAGGTGGGGGCAGGGAAAGCCAGGGGGAAGGGAGTCCTTCCACCTCTCCTCCTCCCATCCAAAATTATAACATAAAATATATAGAAGCCTGACATTTTAAAGGTTTTTATCTTTGCCTGCTTGACGGAGGACATGAGGCTAAAAAGGAGGACATGTCCTCCTTTTGCCTGACATCTGGCAACCCTAATTGTGGGACTCAGATGTGTACACACAACTCTTACTCAGTTGGCAGGAAATACCACCCACAAAATACTGTGGAATTTTAAAGACCAACAGTGTTACTTATTGGCTGGAATCCAGTAGTAAGTCTTAACTAGAGTAGACCTATTGAATCAGTTGAACTTACAAAAATGTTGATGGGCCTACTGGTTCAATGGGCCTACTCTAGTTGCAACTTACTTTTGGATTTCAGCCATTAAAGTGGCATCGTACTTTACGTTCCCCCCCCCTTCTTAAATTTTTCTTTAGCTAATATGCTGAGACAAATTACTAACATGGCTACATCTCTGGGAGTTCTTAATCAGCAGTTCTAAGATGTATATTTACTTTCTCTGGTTCTAAACCCTGGAGGTCTTCGAGGTTCCTACATATTAGCCAATCATTTCTTTCCGGAGTTGTAAAGGTAAAAGAGATTGAGAACAGTCTGTAATAGCCTGCCTTCTGTGCGCTTTCTGCACCCCTCCCCTTGTTTCTAGAGACCCTCTGGAATTTCCTTCAAGCAGTTTGATGGGCTGATGCGGTTTTATAAACCTCGAATGAGCGCAAGAGATCGTTACCTTACTTTCAAAGCACTGAATCAAAGCAATACCCCTTTAATCAGGTGGGCGCCCCTCTTTTTC